TAATGAAAAGGGAGACAACAAAGAGAGGAGTCAAACCCAAGAAAAATAAGCAATACACAATACAATTGCTCAGCACCCCCTGACCAATGCCCAGCTCAGCCCTGAGCAGCAATTGGCCCCCCTGGTCAGCTCCCCCCAGTTTCTATACTGGACATGACGTTCTACAGTATGGAATATCCCTTTAGCTGGTTGGGGTCAGCTGTCCTGGCCGTGCTCCCTCCCAGCTCCTTGTACACCTCCTCGTTGTCAGAGCATGGGAAACTGGAAAGTCCTTGACTTAGAGTAAGCACTACTTTAGCAACAACTAAACCATCAGTGTGTTATCAACCTTATTCTCATCCTAAATCCAAAACACACTGTACCAGCTACTAGGAAGGAAATTAATTCTATCCCAGCCAAAACCAGGACAACACTTCAAGCACTGCAGGGGTGGTTTCAGCCTATCTTTCTAAGCTGAATTTTTTTTTTAATATAGACAGGAACTTTTTAATGAGGTCTGATTCCTTCTCTTTTCCTTCATATCATCTTAACAAAAAAAACAGCAATATTTTTGCTTGCTTTTGTTGCCCTTGTGTAACCAATGCATTTAAAATTCTCCTTTTTGACATGAACAGATTTTTAACTTATTCCAGTATGTTGATCTTGTGCACACATATCATATTTTGTGGGTCTGCAAAGACATCATTAGGCTTTTATTTTGGGCAGTCTCCTGTGGCCTGAAACACCTCCATATTCCTGAGGAAGAATATAAGAGGGAATGAGCTCAGTGTGTCTCTCAAACCCAAGGAGGATCTAATCCTCCTTGCAGGACTTTGTGAGAGACTGAAGAGGCAAAAAGGAGGAATTAACACAGTTCCACTTCGCAGAGTCATTTTCAAGCTGAGTCAGATTTTGGTGGACTGGAATCAAAAGATTCTGAGCCATGAATTAACCTCCTGCCCAGGCAGCCGGTGAGAACTGCTTACCGCAACGTGGAGATGCTGGTTCTGAGTGTGCCAGCACAATTTACTCTGAAAGCCAGTGATATATCAGGATATATTACAGATGTGATGATAGATCAGACCTCTGTCATAAAAACCCTTAAGAATTTTCAAGGTTTGATGCTTTTTTTCCCCACACTCATTATATACAATATAATTTTAGTACATTGCATTATATGAAAGATTATTTGCAATGGATTGATATCAATATGTTTGGCATTTGTTCAAGGTTCTAATGGCTTTTATTTTTTGCAAGTAGAGAAGACCTTCTTCAAATTAAATAACACGCCATCTTAAACCGTAGTATAATAAAAGGTGAACATGAAATAAATACTTTTCAAGTGTGGCTTTTTTTTTCAAGATTTTTTTCATTTTTGCATGCAGCTTGGTATCTATGCTTCCAAAAGAATACAGAAAGCACCAAACATTGAAAGACATACTGGTTTGCTGCTTCTTTTTGTTAACATGCTAGAGTTTTATCAATTTCGTCTGCTTTTTTGTGGAAGTGGTATCTCAAAACTTAAAAAATTTTTAAGATGGTTGGTCTAGCACCCAGTTCTATTTGATCAGACAAAAAAATGAGTGTTTAATCATAACATTTAAATGTCTTTAGAAATAACAGGACCGTAATTAAAGTTCTCACTTTGGTCTTCTCTTATACCTGGTCATCCAGTGGTAATTCACAGAAGCCTGGAATATATTTAGCCCATTCCACCAGGACTAGAAGTTGTTGCTTCATAGATTCACAGACATCACTAATACCAGCAATTTTCTTAACATTTATGTCCGTGCTAGCACCAGGACTGGAGATTGAGATCTGGCCATAGTAAGAGAAAAAATCAACAATGTTAAATGTCATATAATTGCAATTTCACTGGTTATCAGCATATTTAAGAAAAAATCGCAGCAGTAATCATGCATACTCTCGAGAAATTCCTTGACCATACGGACCATTAGTCTGCACGTAAATTATAGAATTTTATTTCTCATTATTACCAGTGTGTATTACAGTATGTTGAAAATTAAACTATTCGTATCATGGTACAATATCTTCTCATTCCAAAATACTATTTTTAAATATGTCAGAGCCCTTATTATTTGTAAAGGGGAGGTGGGGTTTTTTTATTCCTTGAAAATGATTGACATTTACTTCATTTCAGAAAAAAAAGAGCTCATAGGGGCATGCAGTAACATTAAGGGCAAAGAAAGAAAGAGATAAAGGGGTAGTATGTTCTTCTACTGAAAAGATAAGTATCATTAACTTTAGAAGGTAAAACAGGGGGGTTTTAGTGCCTGGAGGAGAATGGCTTGTAATGATGAAGCAGTAGTATAGGCGGAAGCCTGAGACATTTCAGAGCAAATGTAAAGGATATGAGTGTGCATTAGACCACCTGCAGTGAACAGTGTTCTGTGAAATAAGAAGACAGTAATATCTTTCTGGGCCTGAATCTGGGGCACTTTCACATAATCACTGAGCCAAATCCTGAAATTCTTAATGACTTTTCAAGGAAAGGAACAGAACCAGGCTTGCTCTTAAGTCAGGAAGGAAAGGTAACTTAAGATAAAACCAAGTCTGAGAAGAGAACAGTTTATAGCTGCTATCATACCAGGGAAGAAAAAAGAAAAAAAGAAAAAAGAAAAAAAAATGAAAAAGAAAAAAAAAAAAGAGAAAAAAAAAAAAAGAAAAAAGAACCCATCACAACAACAACAAAACCCCAGCACTATACAAGGATTATGAAACTGAGTTTCACCTCACGTTTTATTAGAAAGCATACTCAGGAAATTCTGTAGTTTGATTATCTTCTCCCTCCAACAAAAAATTGTTTAAGCTTCCAATACTTTGTACCTACAAATTTCAGGAGGGTGGATGCTATTTAGGTTGACTCCTATCAGATCCCTTTCATTCCCAGATCCATGTTAAACTTCCCAGTGAGATCCATGGTGAAATCCCATTATCTTTGGGCAGTCAAAAGGAGTTGCACTTCTGAACTTAAGCTCAGTGCTTCCTACATAATTCAGCAGTCTTAAAACATTGAAAACAGCTTAGATATTAATGGCAGCTAACCAACTGAACATTAGTTCTCAGGGAAATATAGCAGCTGGGCAGGTGAAAAAGTCTTTCAGACACATAATTCAAAGGCTATCATGTAGGAAAAAGGTTAGAGGCATTGTCTCTCTGTAAACATTTGTGAAATCCCTGCTGTAATCATGAGTCCATTTCTGGCATCTGTTCTACAAAAATGAAGTGGAAAATACTGAATATCATTCAGGTGACAGCTACCAGAATGATTCAGTCTAGAAAACCTTCAGCATAAAAAAAAGAGTAAAGAAATTCAACATATTCCAGTTTTTCCAGAAGAGTAAGAGGAGTCTTGATCATGATTCAAAATTACCTACACAAAGAAGAGAGTTCTGATAGCAGGAGGTGCTCTGATCTACCAGAAAAAGCTACCACCATGCACCAACTAGAAGTTAATTCAAGAAGGTAAAGAACAGGTAGACTGTTTAAGCATTAGGCTTACTGACTCGTGAACTTAATACATTGTCCTTCCTTTAATATCTTTTAATCAAAGCTATGCATCTTTATAAATTACATCTTATAGGACAAACTGTAGACTCTGTGATGAAATTACTTGGTGAGCTTCTGCTGGAGATTCATGCGATGACTCCCACAGAGTTCACTATGAACTCCTAGGGCTGCATCCCTTCACAAGAATACAAAGCTGCAAACTTTCCTCTTTCTACTTCTCTATTGCTTTAACCTGCCTCTCATTTCTTGGGTGTAACAAGGGAGTCACTGACTTCAGAGAATCCTAGACCAGCCCAGGTTGAAAGGGACCTCGAAAGATCATCTCATTCAACCTTGCATGGGAAAGGGAGCCTAGATGAGATTATCTAGCACCCTGTCCAATCGCACCTTGAAAACCTCCAGTGATGGGGACTCCACCATGTCCCTGAGAAGGTTGTTCCAGTGATTGATCGTTCTCACTGTAAAAAATGTCTTTGTTATATTGAGATAAAACCTCTCCCAGTGCAGCTTGTACCCATTAATGACTTTATGAACATGACAATATAGCACTATATCCCTACTGTCCTGAGAACCATCAGAGACACATGCCGTTACTCCTACAATAGGCCAGCATGTCCTTTTCATATTTACATAATCCTGGAAATCTCTCCTAGGTTTGCAGCAGAAAAATTGTACTTGGACAATTTCCCGCTATAAGGGATCTTCAGGGACAAAATAATTAATTTTCCCTATTTTAATATGAAAATTTTAAAAGGGATGAATGCCACATTCTTCCTCATTTTACAGCTGAAGGACTTGGCCAATGATTTGTGACACTACCACCTCCTGCAAGTCTCTCCTCAGAACTGAATTTATCTTACAGACCAATTCAATTGAGCGAAAAGCAAGGACTTTTAAGACTTTACTTTTCCACCATGTTAATGTGACCTCTTGGTCTTTGAGGTCAAGAGCATATCTTCATATATGCTTGGCATACTGGGAGTAATTCTCTCCTACTACAACATACCAAATAATAAGTAGAATAATTTTGTGCGCATACACAAGGTGATGTTTTAGGTCAGGAATCTATGGTTTGAAAAGGACTTTGTGGTAGGAAAGTCTGAGGATGTGATTCTGCTTAAGACAGCTGTTGTTTCTGAACTGCATATACCAATTGGAAATGATTAAGGGAGTAACACAGAAAAAAAAGCACAATAAGCAAGTTCAAAGAATTACTAAGGAGCTAAAAATAGGTATATTTTTCATGCTGTATAGGTATGAAAGGTAGGAAGGTCCATTATGTTCATCCAGTCTGCAGAGACATGCAATATGTGCCAAAGACTATCACCCAGTAATTCCTGCATCAATTCTTTACAGACAGTTCCACCCTAAGAGAAATGCTGATAAAGGATGAGATTACAAAACATTTGGGGATGTATAAATCAGTCAGCATGAAATCATAAAGGTGGCAGTTAAATTCTAAGTAAGTTAGTAAGAGGTGCAAGAATGCAGAATCAATGACCATGATTTATCTGAGGTGCAGAAAAGGCCTAGAGACTGTTCCATTCAGCAATTGATTGGATAGGGGGGAAAAAAAAAAAGAAAATGAAGTTCAGATGAGACAAAGAAAATTTAAAAGCAAGATGTGAATAGACTCTGCAGTTGGAACACTTCTGTTCGCCTTATTTACAATGTCTAAGGATATTAAAAATGGGATTTTCAAAAGAATGTAAGGAAATGAGTGTCCACACCCCTTTGAATGTAATGGCTTTGGACAATTTTTTCCCTAATGTTTCATGGGAAAGCCAGCCTCAAGGATAGATAGATGCCACCAGCTGCCTGAGACAGCAACTGATTTAAAAGCAGTAAGAACCATAAAGCTTTATTAAGAAAGGTGCCTAGGACATATTGTCCTAGACAAGGTAGAATTTTTTTTTTTACAGACTTTGCTTTAAGAATTTATTCTATTACTGATTCTTTCATTGGGAAGAGGAAGCTAGGTGCATTTTGGAAGCAGAAAAATGTAATCTCAGTAATTATATTTAATAGAATGAAGAAACTGAAAAGTATTTAGCTTTAGAAAAAATGGTCTTAGAGTCATCACATAATTTTGTGGTAGAGCTCAGTACCTGACGGGAGAGTGTCTCAGCTTGTGACAATGTGCTAATAGAGGGAATGTTGCAGCCATCAAAAGTGTTTCTTCTCGTACTTATCCTGTCCCGTTCATTTTGTACAGCTGGAAAAGAATAATCGTCTCATTTATTGACTTGTAGACATTGCCACACAATATCATTTCAGAACTTTACTAGATAACTATATGAATCAAAAGGTATGGCATTTAAAAAAGACCTTGTGCTTTTAGCTCCAAGTAATAAGGAAAGATGACAACACATGTTTATGGTCTTTATCTGTATACTGTTTGCCTATAAAAACTACGTATAACTAATTGTAGAAAGATACTGAATTCTCAGCACTTTTGTGACTGGCTTTATTACAGTAAAATCTCTTTCTTCATTTAAACTTGAACAGGTTGTTGTTCTGTTATTTTAACCAATTTAATAAGTAAGGCTTTATGATAATGGTAAAAATGGAGATCTCCAGACTGCTGAACAGGTCAAGAGGTACAGCACCAGCAGTGACAAAATGGCTGTCAGAGGAAATCTGAAAGCTCTACTCCTGCTTTCCTGTCAGAAGCCCTGAAACAGGAATGAATCATCAACTTAATCCGTTAGTAAGATAATTCTGAAACTTGAATCTGATGCTCCTTAGTGACATTGCATTCTTAGTCAGTTTACAGAACATGAACTAAGTAAAAAAAAAAAGCACCAAAAAAGTTTAAGGTCGGTAAGTTTTATTTCATGGGGTCCAAAAAAAGGCAGTTGAAAGGGCTTTGGATAAGGAATCCTTTATCAGCACATGCAAGGCTTATGAAGCAACAAGGCTTACTTTTGAATTGAAGGAAGAAGAAAAAATAAAACTATCAATCAGATTTTTCTAAAGCCTAGATCATGTCCAAGGTTAGGCCAAGGAGAAAAGAAAAGGAAAAAAAAAAAAAGAATTGTGCTGATCAAAATCTTTTTATTGCACAAGGAATCTCATCATCTTTTAAGAGCAACAGCTTTATTTCCAAAGATACGTTTGCTATTTTGTGGGAAACAATCTGCATTACAGACTTTAGGAGTAGTACCAAAAGCTTCAATAAAAAATATAAAATATTCTATACACTGAATAGTTTTCAAGGTTTAGCTGAACAACACGCATAGTTTATTCCAGAGGTGTATTAACTTTTTGCCAAGGACACTCACTGATGGGCCTTTTATTAAGGTCACAGTAAGAAATGTTGTGCAGTGATAAACACAAAGTGCTAAATGTTCATGTAGACAGGAAACAAAAAATATAACCTTTTTTAAAAGAATGGAGAAAAAAAACATTCACTGAAACTCAACTGCTTAAATTAAAATAAGGTCAGCACTGATTAGTATTAGCAAAATAGTACGATATTCTGACAATCACTGGTGAAAGTCACTGGTGGAGCACTTCTAGAATCATAGGGAAATGCTTCAATTTCCTTCTGCATATGCATAATTTCGGATCAGTAACTGGATTCTCTGTCTTGCTAAAGCTGTTTTGTCAGTTCGGGCTAAAATTGCCTTAAACAGAGACTCCATGAGGAAGGGGGAATATTTGCTGAAAGAGGACTTGTATAGTTTTTATCAGCTGAAGCCTTTCTCATCTTCACCCTGAAGAAAAGAAAGCGATTTGCTAGAAACAAGCTGAGAAACTATCATATAGACTATGCTACACTTATGCTATGAGACATCCCCTGACAGTGTGGAGAGGTATATAACGGCACACAAACAGGGAAATTTACAGTTCAGAGTTTTGAATTATTTTAGCACTGGGAAGCCTTGAATAAACAAGGTTTGAACGCAATGAAAATTGAAAGTTTTACAGGTAATGGGACCAGAGGAGGCAGGGCGGTATAAATTAGGTTAAAAGTTTTGTGCAGGATATATCTGCATTTTATAAACATGAGTCAGCAGCGTGCTTCATGGCAATGTCAGCTCACCATGCACCCGGCTGCATGAGCATCTTGAGGGAACTGATTATTTCTCTGGTTTGGGCTCCCCAGTACACAAAATACACTGGAAAACTGGGCAGCATCCAGCTGTTACGGAGCTGCAACCCAGAAGACACACTCGCTAAAGCAGAGAGAGGCATCTTTGTTTACGTGCGAAAGAGAGGACCAAGGCGGAGGTGGGGGGTCTTAATTTCTGTAGTTTACAGAAAATAGAGTCAGATTGTTCTCAGATGCACAGTGAAAGAACAAGAAGTAATGGACACTACCCTAATGGCAGTAAGACACATTCCAATCAGCTATAAGGAAAAAACTCTTCCCAATGAGGGTGGTCAAGCACTGGAAGAAGTTGCTGAGAGAGGCCATGGAATCTCCCCCCTCAGGGACTGTATAAACGTGGCTGGCCAGGGTCCCAGGCAACCTGACCGAGCCTAGAAGTTAGACTTGCTTTAAAAGGAGGCCTGGACTAGATGACTTCCAGATGTCCCTTCTGAGCTACACTGTTCTTTAATTCCAGCTTTTGAAAGTCTGTGAAGCTCTGCTTTTTGCAAAAGTTTTAGGGCTGCTGTGGATACACAGGTCTTCCCTTTTCTTCGTGTCAGATTGATAATATATATACACTATGTTAGTGATTTTAATGGCTCAGATTCCTAAAGGCTAAACTGCGTACAAGGAGATCCGCAAGAATTAGCAAACCTATTTTGTACATGCACAGTGTAATGCTGTTTAGAATATCCCCATCCAAAACCTGATCACTAGCAAAGCGGTACTACGGTATAGATATATAAGAGCACAAAGAAACAGCTTCCTTTATCTTAGGAAAGCAATGCATAGACTAAAAATATTATAGCCTAGTTACAATACAGGAGAACTGTGCACTCACGTTGCAGACCGGCCTTCAGGCAGATGCACCATGCTCCAAACAAAACAGGTTGGTGATGAACCATTTTGGAGTGCTTATTTGAACCAGATCAGGGCGTCTTTTGCCTCTACCTCATAACTGCCAGTGAAGCAACAGCCCCAACAACCCAATACGAAAATCCTCTGATATTCCCACTGCCTTCCTTTCTCTATTGCTCCTTTGGTCAGCTGGTCCTTCCACTTGGACAGAAGGATCACTGCGACACCCATGTTTCTTCATGTCTCTCAACGTGATGCGAAGTAACAATCTTCCCATATTAAGCACTAATGAGATTAGAAATTCTTTTAATTAACGTGGACACTCCACTGACAGCTCCCACCACTGTTCACATCACTACTTTTTCGCTCAACTTGACACTCCTTCCTCTGGCTTAAATGCTTCAAACATTTAAATTCAAGGGAAAAACCAGTAAATTGTCACTGTCATTACTTAGATAGGGTAGAAACAAAATCCCAGATAGAGATTTTATGACTCACATTTAGTACAAATGAAAAGTAAAATCTCACACTTTGAACTTTTCCAGGATATGGCTCAACACTTAGAAATCATTGAATTTTGTTGCCAGGATTCATGGATTAAACAGTTGAAAATTCACTTTAAAGCCATACATTTGCTAATGCTAAAAGTGTTAGAACTGCTTACCCACTTGAAAATTAGATGATGCATATTTCACCTCAACATAAAAGCATTTCTCCATCATGAAGGCATTATAGTAGACTTTCCATTGAATTATTCTGCTGGAGTTTTTTAGAATTTTTATTACATTTTAAAACTATTTCAGATTATTTCTCTTTGTATATCAAATAATAAATGACTCCATTACCTTCTTTTTTCATTCCTGCTCGAAAACACTTTTTTAAACGACAATATCTGCATTGATTCCTTTTGTCCTTGTCAACAATGCATTGCCGGTTGAATCTATCAGAGAGAAGGAAAGGTAAATGTATAAAGCATTAATAAAGCAGCACTCTGATTACAAAAAGAAAACCAACTAATCTGGCCTGTCAGAACAATGTCTATAACCACAGACTTTCTTCTTCTGTTGTTTTCTTTTTTTTTTTTTTTTTAATTAATCAGTCTTGAGGGGTGTTTCACACCTGCTTGGTTTGCAGGAGTATAGGTATGTGTATACACATAGATATGCACTGGAATGGTCAAGTGTGGAAAATTTTGGAGTTATGTGCATCATTTACATCTCAGTTTATTTGTGAGATATGTCAGTAACTAGCTGCATCAAATGGCGGTGGGGCAAAATAAAGAAGAAAAGCTACAAATAGAAAAAGGAAAGGAGAATCAAGGAAAATGCCAAGTGTCACTGACATGGAGGAGACCTTAGCTGCAAAACCAGAACCCTTGGCTGGGAAAGTTTACTCCTTCTGGGAGATACCAATGCACAAGCTAGATGTTGCATCATTACAGATGACAACGTAAACAGGAAACAGGAAGAAAATTTTCTAACACGATGAAATAAAGACATGAGGAAACACACGGAGCGTGACTCTGCAAAAAGGCTTCCCCAAGCTCCCATGCACATCTCCAGGTGTGCCTAAGGGGAATGTACATAAGCCATTCCCTCCTCTCCCTGTTTGCTTCTGCATTTTTGCTGTGCATGTGTTTGTTAGATAAACGGATCTATGTTTTGCAGAGTTCTTCCTGAAATCACTTATATCAGCTCTTGCCACACCACTTTAGGGGTATGTCTATGCCATATCACTGAGGTATGCCTATAAGGAGACATTTCCTTATAAGCGTATTAAGCAACCAAGGAAGAGTGTAGCAAACAAGATTTCCAGTAACAAGCCATTCCTACAAAAAGTTTTCTCCTTTAGTGATTTGTCTAAACTCACAAAGGTCTCCATGTACCCTGCGCACAGCGTAAAACTGACATTTTAGGGACACGTGTATGCACAGAGAAATTAGTCAAACAGACCGCTGTGCTGTGCACGGACCTGCAATGTGGTAATTTGGGCAGCCAGGCACCTGGAAATTAGCAGATTGCCATTCAGGCTGACAGGACGGTCACTCAAAGGAGTAGTGTGTCACCCAGAGTGGGAAGATGTGCAGATGAGCTTGTACAGCCCTTAAAACAAGGCTCATAAATCTTAGACTTTCTATTCAGAGACTGTCTTCATAAGAAAAAAAAAATGAAAAGAATTTTTAGAAAACCGTTAAGAATTACACTTTTCACATTGCCAGTGAAAATACAAGAATTTTTCCTTTTTTTTTTTTCTTTCGGGACATGACCTTTGTAATCATAAATAAAAGAGTAAAATAGCTCTTGAGTGATGTAACAATACTAACAACATCAACAAACACCTGGAATGTAGTATCTGGAATGTGTAATATCAAGTAGTCTTGAATAAAAGACATTTTTTCCAATCACAAGAATATACCAAGAACCACATGCTTATCAAAAATGTTGGTTAGAATTCCTTAAGAAAAAGATGAAAATACCCTGGCATAGTTCTGAAAAGTCTGAAATGATCTGAACACAGTTTTTGCTTAAATTCTTTAATTTTGCGCCTCTAGGTGAACAACTGAAATACCTGCATGTATAGACGTGATTTTTCCGTATACTGCGCCTAAAGAATCCCTTGCATCCGTCACAGCTGGAAGCACCGTAATGTTTTCCGGTTGCTCGGTCTCCACATATTGCACAGAGACCGCTGACACCGTTGTCAGCAGCATTCATGTTGACAGCTTCTCCTGAACTGTCTGAGGAGCAGCAAAAACAACATACGTGGTTATGGACAAGACTTTCAACAACCTCCCCAGGAACAATTTTTACTTAAATGAAGGCTTTTCCTGGCCTTTTCTCTTTTAATTGCAACTTATTATTTATATAGCACGGTGTATCTGATTGCATCTGGTTCTTATTCAGGTAAATACTTTCAAAGTTATAAAGACCTTAACAGAATTTATGAAGTTCGCAACAACAAATAATTCTATTCTGAGCTCTTTCCAGCTGAAAGGAGTTAAAAATTAAAGTGTAACTCTGCATGTATAATTACATATACATTCTGACTAACTTGAAGAGGAATTTTGGCACAAAGCAGTGGTGCCTAGTTAGCTGGCAAAGATCTCCTACATCAGTTCTCATAGCAGTTGGCAATAACTGACAACTATCATGCAAAGATACAACTGCATTCGTGACAGCAAAAAAAAAAAAAAAAAAAAGAAAAAGACAAGGCAGTTTTTGCACAATACTTAATGAAATAAAAGTGCAGACTAAGAGGACTAAGTGTTATTTCCTTCAACAAATTTTCCAAAGGAACGTTGGTGTAGACTTTACTTGCACAAGAGAATATTAGCTACATGATTAACAATTAGTCATTGAATATGGTAAACAATACTGAAGAAATTCACCTGAAATCAAAACCAACATATTTATTCTTCTTTGAGTCACAATGTTTAACAGACATGTTCAAAGAAATAATTGCAAAGTAGCTTTTTCTGGTTTTACAAAAGGAAAGCTGTTTGCAATATGCCCTAAACATTTGTGGTAGTTCAGATAGGGACAGGAAAGAGGGCCACATTAATTAGTTATTCAAACATGCCTTCAAAAGTCAAGTACATGAGTTCATGAACAGTGGACAGCTCGAAAAGTAAAATTGTTAATATTGATACATATTAATACTCATATTGTACTAGGTCCAACTGAAATGTATTACACAAATATATTACAAAATTTTCATTATGTCCCAAAGAGCTTACAATTTAAACAGAGTTCAGACAAAGAGAGAAGCAGCAATACTTTTTTTTTCTGTTTTACAGAGACATAATTGATAGGAATTTTATTAAAAATTGATTAAATAAAAATGAGAACTTAAAGGTAAGAATTCAGTTCTCTAAAGATTTTATTTTAAAACTAGGTTTGCCATGACTGGAAAATTATTTTTAAAAATTGATTACAGAATTACTTAAGCTAGAAAATAAATTCTTTTGCATCATAATGATATAGCAGATTAATTAAATATACAATATTTAAATTTAATTATGAAGTATTTCATAGCAATAGAAGCTGTGTATATATAAGGATATACTTATTCTCCTGAATTATTCTGAAACAAAATGCCTGGGAAATTGACCTGATTCTGCAAAATTCTCTGATTTCAACAAATGCATAATCTGCCTGAATGTGGCTTTTTAAAATTCTCTGTATGTTTCTGATTAATTTAGACAGCTAGAAAAGACATGTAGGAAAGTTCATAAGAGACAGCTTTCAGTTCCAGACTAGCACTGTAGCTAGAGAATGTTTTTATAAAGTCTATAAGAAAATACTTAGGTTAAGCTCAAAGCAAATTCTAAACAGAAAAAGGCTACACCTAATAACTAATAATTATCAAACTATTCACTTAACAGTGAATAATTTAACTAGCTCTATCACCAACACTTAATGCAACACAGCATAACCTCCTTAATCTGCTTTCCCATTTAATGTAACATTAACAGATCTGAGAGAGTGCTATGCAGCAAAAAAAGAGACAACCAATGAAATCACCCATATTAGAACAAAAAGCAGAGAAATCATCTAAAAGTTACATAATCATTGTTGATAGCTTCAAAATCACTTAAGGCATAAAGGTCATCTTTTTTCTTCCTCAATCAATAACCAAATCTGCTGTCCTGTTTACTAAGCTTGATGTAAGGTACTTTTTATCAGAAATTCAGATAAAATTTAAAGCCCAACAATAAAAACTAAGTTAGGTTCTATATGTCAGGAATGTGTGGAAATGCAGGTGCTAAGTGTTTTCCCTGCAAATCACTAAATATTTGTTCTGCCTTTTAAAAATACATACTACAATAGATCTATGAATTATACTTTATGATAAAATAACACGTTTTTTCAAGTATATTAGAAGATTTGGAAAGCCATTTTAGAGTAGTTTAATTTGCCTGATACTTTTCTTCACTTTAATAGACTGACATTTCCCTTTTTTTTGGTCAGTACTCAATGATGGCAGAATGAATTCTTGCTTCCTATTTCAAGCATAATTTACTGATACAATTTCCCCAAAAATTATTTCATTAAATTCTAGCTAAAGTGTTACATTAGCCAAATGCAAATATTATTTTCTCAGCTAAATATTAGCCTCTAGTAAGCCAATGTGATTTTAAAAAAAAAATCACTCTAGTTCACATATCCCCATACCGAGGAAGGCTCGATTAACATTTAAATAAATAAAATATTAGTCCAACAATTAGAAACTAGGCATCAAGAAACAGTAGTTAATTTTTTTTCACAAGCCTCTGGATAATTTTGTCCTGCCCTTCTGAATGTTATATACAAAATATACTTTCATGTCCAAACTGTCAATACTAGTTATTAATTTGTCTTACAGTAAATAAAACTACTGCTGAATACACTGTTTTCCTCCTTTGATTAACTGACTGGTGACAGTACAGTTCAGCTACTTTATTACATATAACCTCTCTTTTATTTTCCTTAATGTTAAAGAATTCTAATGTTATTAACTTAAAGTTAGTGATGAAGTGTAAAAGAGCAGATTTGCAGTTTGAAAACAACCCCCAAATGCTCCATTAATAAAACATCTAGCTAACACCTTACAGCATTACTAAACTTCACTTTTTCTGTTAACTGGCTTGATTTTGCATCACGGAGCAGAACTCACCACTGCCATTGTACAGAATCTGCATCGTTTCGAACTCCAGTGCCGTATACGTCGGATCTAAAACTTCACTGTAGTTTGCCATTTCCATGTCTAACATTGGTTCCGAGAGTCTCATCATTGAATGCAAAACCAGTGAAAAAGCTGCTCAACTGTACAAACCTTCCCATTCTGTTTCACAGTGATTGATAATCCAAAGTTAAGTATAACTGTGTCCCTTACGTGCTGCAATGGGAGGAGCTGGAAAACTGCTTCTCCATGCTATATTCTACCTGTTTCTTTTTTTTTTTTTTCCTTTTATGGTACAGTGCAATCCTTCTGATAATCTTGGAATGCTTTATAGAATAACCTTATCAGGAGTTGTACTGGTTCCAGTTCTTGAGTGAACCCAAGGACGTGCAGGAAGCGTCCTATCTATCTCCTGTGCCCTGCTACACATTTTGTGGTCAACGTGTGGTATAAACAGTCCTAAACAAACCACTCTAGTTGTTCTATGTAACGAGGCTGTAGGCTCATATGTCATTTCGCTCACTCTCTTCAGAGCAATAAGGAAGCGTGCTGTGATTATGGACTATCCTCATACCCAAAACATCCATCATCATATTTTAAAAGACAGCTGCAAAACCTCCCATTTTTACAACTGTTAGTGTTCTACAACAGCATCAATGAGCTGGCTGTATAGGCATGCTTAATCAAGGCTTCACACAACACAAGCTCTGCAGCAAGGCCAGTTTATAGATCTCCTCCATCACGCCCCGTGTTGCTGTGATGGCTCTAGGCAGCGGCCCTTGCACACTCTCAGAAGGTGGCTTCCTGCTCTAACCCTTCCTCATACAAGATGTGGTGGTAACATGTTGTTTTCAAGCACCATTCAGATGCACAAGGGAAAAAAACATCATTCACCTTCTCTGAAAAGAAGAATCTCTGGGTAGGTCCACTGCTCATCAGTTGGTACACATGGCACGCACAAACCCAGTTAAAAACTCTCCTGTAAAGCTGCATGAACCTGTGCAAAAGATAGCTAAATTTCACTTGCTAATCAGGTGCTTTTAAATGTTGGATAGCAGAATTTCAAATGTTATTATTTCTCTATAAAGTCTTGACAGAAAACTACCCTTTACACTGCTGAACAACAGTTACATTAAAGATTACATATATAGGAAAACTGCTCAGTTTACGTTTAATTAACAAGAGACAGTAACTGTATATACAGCACTGAAATGCTTATTCAAATGGAAAGAGAAAAAAAAAAAAAAAAAAAAAAAAAAAAAAAAAAAAAAAAAAAAAAAAAAAAAAAAAAAAAAAAAAAAAAAAAAAAAAAAAAAAAGGAAATAAAAGCAATTGATGACAGACGAACTACCAATGAAGAAGGAAAATGTATAGGAAAAGACCTAGAAAATATCCATCCTTCTAATTTCCAGGTCCCCACGGTTACCCAAGAGGGAGAAGTCCTCCTGTCTCCCCATGGACACACAGATGGAGTCTCAGGCCAGTTCTCCTCCTGACTTCAGCACAGTCCAGTGACATAATTATGACAACACGATTCCTGTGTAAGTCACAGAGCTATCCCCAAACCGAAGAGCATTTGAGATCGTGTTGCTGCTTGCACAAATTCTCCATAGATTTTGGAGGGTCTCCCCAACCTTTTCAACCTACCTTTTCCTTTAAATCAATCAGCCATTATAATATTCAAAGAGAGATCAAAAACCTGTGACAGTTGCTACTTAAAAAGGGGCAAACCTGTAATGTTCTGCCTTCATATGAATAGCATGTTTATTAACAACCAATGTAACTACAAATACTTCCTATGCACTACAGAAGAACAAATAATCTACAGGAATTTTATAAAATATTTAAGTTTATGACTGAAATATTAGAACTTTTTATGCCTACAATAACGGAAGAAATTCTACTCAGAAAGTATGATTTCAGAGTACTGGAAGTGTACAAAGTTTCACCGTCTTTAACCATAGCTAATTTTTTTTTTCTTAAAGAAACATTAAATTAAGATTGATGAAAAGTTATTTGTTGACAGTCCATATTTGTTTAGGAAATCATAGCAGTTTTGTCATGAGATGAAATAATTTTATACTGCCTGACAGTTCAGTTTGAAAAATTTCTTCAGTAGCTGAGTTGGTTGTATTTGCTACAACAATTTGTCGTATTTGTGTTGTATTTGCTACAACAATTTGTCGTATTTGTATAGTATTTGCTATAAAACTAGTTACGAGTTGCATGACAAATGAGTCATTGCATTAAATACGCTACTTAATATAATATACAAAGGTTTACATGTTAACTAGAATTATCTTTTGTTCCTTAGTGCATACATTTTGATGAGATTTTCTATAAATAATCTCTGGCTTTTTCATACCAAAATTGTGTGCTACACCAATACAAAAATATCTAAGACTAGCTGAGTTTTATTTCAAAACTCCAGTCCCGAAAACATTCTGGCATATGAGCAAATTAAAAATAAGGGAATGAATGTGAGATGGAAGACATCATGTATGACATGATCAAATCCTGCTATTCTCTCCACTGTTAGCAGAATTTCTTCAGCGCTGCCAAAACAGGCCCCTCGGTGACTACTAAAGAGAGGGAATGAATTGACCCTTCATACTTCTGTCATATAAAAACTCATTTCAATTGATTTTTTAATACAGAAAAATATACAGTGTAGGAAAGATGTTCTTTATACTATTTTTTTCGTGTTTTGCTAAGGAGACTTTTTACAGTCAAATCTTGCATTTGTAAAAATCTGCTTTAGGGGGGGATTTTTGGCATCATGAGGTAAATCATGAAAAATTAATGTATATTAAATGACTAGTGTAAAATATTAATATGTTTCCTCTCTGCATTAGGTGGATGGGAACGCAGTCCTGGAATTAGAGTAGTTGAGGAAAGAAGCTAACAATGAACAGCTTTTGGTCCTGTGTCAGTCCAAGCTTTATAATGTTCACTAGTATTCAGACCCTCACACAGCAGATTTCTTTTCATATTGGACACTTGCACTGTTTTTCGAATTCTGAATGATCTTGCAGCTTGTAGTATGAGATGTTCTTTCAAATTCTAAGTCAACTCATCTACTACTGTCAGCCAAGCAATATTAACCTTAGGAAAGCAGTAGTTTTAAAATTGTGTAATTAGTCAAACTGTGAAACACTCCTTTGAGATAAGTGGTTCTATAAACTTGAGTGAGAAATGATTTTTCAAAATAAATTTTGTAGTAATTGTGAAGAAAGAGAAAGCTACACAATAAAGGTTTTGTTCATGTGGTTTCATTGGGTTTCTTCTTTGAATCTGATTACCTCACAATGACATACAGAAAGCATTCCTATCTTATCTTTAAGACTATTAACTCTGTTAATTGTTCAGCTCTCCTTATTAAATGTAATCATCCTTTCTGATTGTGGTATAAAACAGAATACAAGCTAATAAAATCAAGGTTATTTCCACAAAAATCTTCCTGAAAATAAATCTCAAACTACAATCACTACTGAAAACAGTTTGGGGTTTCTTTTTTTTTAATTTTGTAAGTAGTAATATGTCCTTTTATCATTCCCACTTAGTAAGAAATGTAGGTCCCCAGAAGAAAATCTTAATTTACAGGTTATTTTTTTTTCTTGTTTCCCACGTGTTCTGAGTAAGGAGCACATCTTCACAGCATTTCTTGTTTTGCAATTACAGTGAGTTCTGGTGGACATACTCTGAAGGCATCCTATTTTTGTCAATAAGCTGGCATATTTATCCAGTATGTTGATAAAACATACATTTTTATATGTCTCCCCTCCCATTTGCTGGCACACACGTGAGACAGGGTACGCAGATAGTCTCTACTAATCAACCCTAATGAAACTATACGAGCTGAGCCAGTACATCTCCTTACTACAGTAAACTCAAAGATCTCCAAGTTAGACAGTTTATTTGCGAAAAGCTTGCTACCCAGGAAGCGGTGTGCAAATTTCCTCACGCCAGCGAGGAATCTCATCTTTGACTTACAAAGACACACGCCCATGTAATACCAGAGACTGCATGTCCCTCTCCTGTAACACACCCTCAGCGCCAAGGAGAACATTGCCAGTCACCGTCGCATCAGCTCTGCTGCCACCCAACCCCAAGTATTTCATAAATGGTCCATGAGTAATGACTGGGAAATGTTTGCTTGTATTCTAAAACATATAAAATTATGACGTGTTTAACATGAAAAGATTTGTGACACTGTAGTATTACTTTATTTGATAGAGATCACTGGTTTTTTATCTTTTAAATAAAAATGTTAGAGTTGGAAAAATTAGTGATAAAATCTAAATGTATATTACCAAACTTCTCAGACCTCTTGGAAAATACACAGCCTTTTGTGCTTAAGAACCTAAATACCATGATGGAAACATGGCTACAGTCCTCTACAACTCTAAAACATTACAGCAAGTCTCTTAACAGTGTCATGCCTCCCTCCTCCCCCCCAAAAAAAAAGGTTCAGAGCCAAACAAGGACAAAGTTGTGTTTGAGCTGGTTAACGTTAAAGGCTTTTTCAGAACAATTTGTGAATCATGAGAGTAAATGCACAGCACAACTGCTTCCAGTAAGATGATCAAAGGCACCATCCCATACGCACTTCTCAAACCCAGCATCAACTATCAGCTTTACTGAGTAAATTTATGGCACTTAGATGCTTCTGTGCCTTTTCATTTTGCATCTTCCTTTTGACTTTGTCCTAAAAATATAGCAGTTAAATAAAGCACTAGAAAAGCAAAGCCAGTACCAGAATTGAATAACAGGTTTTCACAGCACACTTATTAGGCAAGGTGGTAAGATTAGCTGCAACAAATCATGTCAGGTGAAACGTAAGTACAAATCTTTGTGGGAAATCTAGGCTAAGCCTGTTTCCATTACACACATTTTTAGACACTTAGACCACCCCAGGCATTCTATAAAAACGAGATTCTTGCACATATTGAATCTGCCTCTTTTTTCATTTGAATTGGTGATTCATTATGTTGAGCTCCACTGTATCATACAGCAAAAATACACAGCTTTCTTTAGTAAGTTATGATGAGAGTTATTTTTTCTTTTTTTTTTTTTTTTTCATTTTGGTGTAACAGGGAACAGACCATT